TAATGCGACAAATAATGCGACAAATAATGCGACAAATAATGCGACAAATAATGCGACAAATAATGCGACAAATAATGCGACAAATAATGCGACAAATAATGCGACAAATAGTGCGACGAAAACATAGATGGAAAGAAGGGTTCCGGTGAAAATTTATCCCCATGTAACATTCTACCGCAATTCTACGGAGCTCATCGAAAAATATCCCGCGCGCAAACTTTCCTCGAGACTTCATTCCCTACCTGCCAATTACTCTCATTCACAGGGCGAGCTTAATTGCCGGGGACAAACGAGGACAGATCGGCGGCCCACAGACCAACCAGGCGGCCCATCAACCAACTCCGCGACCCGCTGGGTTCCGAGAGAAATCGACGGCCGTTTGGGGAATTTAATCGGTTCGGGAGAAAAGCGATCCGCCGATGAGTTCCGAGAAATTTGATAATATTATTTTATTATTTTCGTGGGACGATTTATTTGAATCGGAACGAGCAATCACGATCCGCCAGAGGGCAGCGGAAAGAAATGACATTCGAATCGATACGAAAAAATATATATATCAATATATTTGGCGGAAAAGCAAAATTCAAACGACCTAAAAAAAATCATTTAGATGTTTGACGTCGAAAATGAACATTCCAAAGCCATGCTATAATATCTATAATATTTATAAAATGTATTTATCATTCATAATATTTATCGTATTGGTGCCAAATTCGCGGCTTGATTAAGAGATTTTCAAGATTAGGAGATTAAGATTTATCGGCATATCGAGTCGTCAGTTCGTAGAACCAACGCTGACGTTTAGACGACTTCGAATTTTCTGCAGTAAAAATAAATACTAAAAGAGAGATTTGTATCCTTGATTGTTAATTAAGTTAATTTCACGAGTCTAGGAGAGCCGGAAACGGCGAAAGTCGAAGAAATGGCTTTCGAGAACGAAGACGATGGAATCGATAGTCTCATTTTTTAATTCGCAATGTTCAACGTCCCTTGCAGAAGATAGCAGACGTTGACACTCGCAAAAAAATTGTTTTGGGAATTTGCAATAGACTTTTTTGGAAGGACGCTGGAGCAGAATTTTTTTGCAGAATACTCGAACGCAAAATGCGTCGCGCCAACTCATTCGGGTCGACTCGCGCCGGACCGACAGAAAATTTTGCGAAACGAGGGAATTTGCAAAATGGGGTAATTTGCTAGACTCACTGAAGTCGGGTCTGAAGACGACCAGGTACCGGAAGACGCAGATGACCACCTGGGTCGCCACGCTGCTCTGCGGAGAACGACAATTTCAGTCGCATGGGAAGTCGTGCAAAAAAAGACGGAACGAGTCTATATACATATTTGCGAAACATCATGCGGAAACACTTGAAAATTCATCAGAAATGTTTTCATGCAAATTTTTCATGTCATCATCCCATTTCATCCTTTCACTGTTCGCAGGCGAGTGTCCCCCACCCCCACCACTCCCCCTCCAAGACGAGACGAAGACGGAAACGCTCATTCCTCCGAGAAATCCCTGCACCAAAGCGAAGCGAGGGGAGGGGTACCAAGGAGGTCGCGAAGCAGACGAAGGCGTAGACCTGGCAGAGGACGTCGGAGAACGCCCAGTATCCATAGTAGCCCGAGACGGTGGTGAAGGGATAGCCGAGGAAGGAGACGAGGAGGTCGGACGCCGCCAGGTTCATCAGCAGCTGCATGTGAGGATCCCGGCGGAACCGTCTCTTGTAGAGGATCGTGGCCAGGAACAATCCGTTTCCCACCGTCGCCAATATCCCTGGGGATGGGACAGAGGAACACCCATCAGGGCTTCAAGGCAAAACAAGTTCAATAATTGGCGATTTTGCCACATTTTAAAATTCAAACGTTTTAAATCGTTTAACAGAGAACTTCAACTGTGCAATCTTTCCAAGGCGCAAGAAACTCTGAACTTTGCGGCTTGGACCAGGATAATTAAACAAATATCCACGACCAATCCAAATACATCATTGTGATAATATTGCAGCTTTGAATTTTGCCGAAAGAAGGCATCCGCGAGGCACTTTTCACTCGTTTTCAGACTTGACATGTTTCAAAATTGCATGACACGTTTCGAAATTGCATGACATGTTTCGAAATTGCATTATCTCGTAATTTTTCGGAGCACCTGGACACTCCCACGCGATGCTCGTTAGGGAAATGGGAGATAGGACCCTGTATCCCACGTGGGGATCAAGCATTTCTTATCGCTATCCTCGTTCTAAACGCTTATCGAGCCCCATCCCTATTCATATGCTTACACGCTCAGTCAACAAATGTTCTGGCTGAATGCAAAAAAATGCTGAAAAATTGGGAAATAATTCGGAATTCTCTGATTCTTCATTGCGAAATTGGAGCGCGAGAAAAAACAGGAACGAAATAGGAAATGGGACCTGCGTTCGCTTTGAGCACCGTCTGGGGCTCTCTCGAGAAGGGATTAGCCTTAATCCCGTGCAGATTAGTGCAACCCGTTTATCCCCTTCACCAGCTTGTTGATCTTGGAATGGGACCAAAAATGAGGGAGGGAGAAGCTCGATGGTCGTTCATTGGAGTTCGACAGGGTTGGAAAGCGTTTAAATGACAACAATGAACAATTTCGGAGGTCGACGTGGGAAGGATTGCCGATTCTGATGATGCGAAAATTTTGCAAGGAAAAAGTTCGCCGATTCTGATGGTGCGAAAAATTTGCAAGGAAAAAATTCGCCGATGGCGTGAAGGTCATCCGCGAAATTGTCAAGGTATGTAATTAACCTTAAATTAGCACTAAAAAATCAGCGCCGCAGATTCCCCTTGCAGCAGAACTGCAGCCTTCCCAATGAGCTCATCGAAAATGAGCTCATCCGGAGAAAAAACAGCTGACGCAAACATTCCACAGGCAAGAGATAAAAAAAAACGCTGCGATCCGGAGAAATCCCCTTGAGATCGCTCCTTCCTCTCGACGGCGTCCGGCCTCGTCCGTCCTGGAAGTGGATGTCGGAGGCCATTCATTAACGTTATTTATTAACATAATATATAAATATATACATAAGCATTTTTTTTTCCGTCCGGAACAGCTTGTGAACCAGAAAATTGATTTACGAGAACATTTTTCCCCCCAGATAAGAAAGGAAAAAGTCTATTGACGCAGCGAAGGCAGCCATCGGCGGGAGAGCGCCTGGATCTCTCGAGATAAGCGGGCGAAGCAAGGGGATATATGCCCTGAAAAAGGCAGATAAGCCGAGGTGTTTCCTCCGAGTGACGATCCCGGCAGACGGATTCCTTTCCGCGCTTTTCTCGCGTTTCCCGATGGACGATCGGAGCCGAGCCGAAGTGAATTTTCGTTCGAGCCGGTTTCCGTCGGTTCCGCGTAGAAGCGACATCATTTGGGGCATCGGTTGCGGCAGCGGTTGCGGCAGCGGTTACAGCATCGGTTACGGCATCGGTTACGGCTTCGGTTGCGGCAGCGGTTGCGGCAGCGGTGTCCGTGTGCATGGCTACGACCATTTGTCTCAGCCTCGTTTCGTCTCCTCCGCAGGCCATGGTGCAGTGAGATTTCCCCGGAAGCGTCAACACAGACCGAATTCCTTCCCCCACAACATGGCAGACGATTACGCGCGGACGAAAGTGGACGTCGCTTCTCCGTGAATCCGTCGATGAACCCAGCAGAGTAGGAGAGAATCGAGGAACGGGCGAGGCTGGAGGGCTGAGACGAGAGGACCGTGGACTCGAATTCCGGAGGACCGTGGACTCGAATTCCGGAGGACCGTGGACTCGAATTCAGGAGGACCGTGGGCTCAAATTACTCTTCTGCTGCGCCAGGGAATCGCTTACGTAATTCTAGTCTCATTTCTCGTGCCAAATCCGATCAGTCGATGATTTCATGCAAATCGTGATTGATGTGTATTGTCATCGCCTAACGTCCTTCGACGAAGAAAATGCGAACGAAAGTGAGGGAACAAAGAGTGTCAAGCGAGGAAATTGCGATCCTTCTCCGCTGCCACGAGATAAGTGAAATTTCCGACCGTGAAGTGTTTTGATAATGCAGTGGGAACGCGATGCGAGCACTCCAGATGCACCATCGATCGAGTGAGAAACGCACGGGAAACAAAGATATTTGCCCAGGTCCATTTTGCAACCCGCAACGGCCCGAATTCCTGGGGCAGCCTCGGCGTGCCTGTCGAAGAGGGCGTCTCTCAGTCCCGGAAACGCCCTAAAGCGGCGGATGGGCAGCATTGCGTTCATGCGAGTCTGAGAAGGATGAGGTGCATGCGCAGAGCCAGCTGAATGCTCGAGCCGGGGATGCTTTATGGTCGAGTGCGAAACCGTGTTGCGATGGAGTGGGAGTGGTACGATGAGAGGATGTAAGGTGTATGTAAGGTGTACGTAAGGTGTACGTAAGACGTATGTAAAGTCTACGTAAGACGTATGTAAGGTGTATGTATGGTGCATGTATGGTGCATGTAAGGTGTATGTAAGATGTATGTAAGGTGTTTGTAAGGTGCATATCCGATGCAAGAAAACGCCAGTTGTCGATGTTCGAGACGATGTCCGTTCCGGCGGAGGCGGCCGGGGACGCACGAGAAGCGAGGATGGAATGAGGAGGCGATGAAGGGCATCGCGAGTCGCGCTTTCAGTCGAAGCGGTCGCGAAGGATCGCGGTCGCGAGGATCGCGGCGCATTACCATCCTTAGGATCGGGTGACAGCCTCGTGCCCGGGATGAATCCGAGATGCCGATCGAAGCCATATACCGCTCTAAAGCGTCGCTGCACGGTTGGCGCCGTCTGCCGCGCGGAGGCCGTGCGGGCCGACATTGCTCTGCACCTACAGGGCAATGATGCTTCAGTGCCGCTTGGTTAAAAATTGGCTTCTGTTGGTGATAATTAACAACGTAGTCTTCATTCGTCGCCGATCGGCATTAACTGTTTAGGGAATGTAAGACACGGAAGCGTATGCGTCGAACTGTTCACGGATCCATGCGTTTTTTTGTCCCTTAGGCATTTCCGTTGGACGATCGTCGCCGAAGGATTGAAGCCATGGGGTCGCTAGCGGCGAAGAATGTCCCGGCCTGCCTCAAGTATTTCTTCTTTGGCGTCGCCGTCACCACTCTGGTACGCCGTCGTCGTCGTCGCGACCCGATCTCGTCCGTCTGAAAGCGCTCGGATTTCGTTCCACAATTTCCGTTCCGAAATCGAAATTTGTTTCGTTCTCGGTAGCTCGGCGGCGTGTTCCTGGCGATCGTGGGCATCGCGGCGGTCGCGCACGAATCGCTCGTCCCGACGGAGGAATTCGAGTTGAATCCGGAGATACTCCGGGTGGCGGGAGTCGTCCTCATCATGCTCGGTGCGGCCGCTGCCGCCCTCTCGGTCTTCGGATGCCTCGGAGC